AAGCACACCTTTGATATATTGAATAACTTATGACTCAGCAGATGGTTTATTACAATCCAAATCGTCAAATTTAATGTATTATGAAGAAACTACCTCCAATCTTTATATCTCTTTATTTAGACCTTTGAAATGCATTTACAATGCATTTATAAAATTTTTATTAATACACAACTGACGTGTCAAAATGATTAGACTTTCGGGATGCCAATGCAATGCAACTATACTAACAAAAGAAGAAAAAAATTGTCATCCATAATCGGGAGGCACGATTTGTTTGGCAGTTTGTTTATTACAATTCATTGGTATAAAATATCATGATTCAAAAAGCACATCTTTGATATATTGAATAAATTATGGCACAGAAAATGGTTTACTACAATGCAAATCATAAACTTTATCGTTTATAGACTGATACTGAAATTTTCAACCGAAAAAGACATTGAACCACTTCAATTTTTTTATTAATATTATAGTTCGACAGCTTAACTGATATCAACTCAAAGAGACACCAAGCCACTTCAATTTTTTATTAATATTATAGTTCGGCATATTGGTTGATATCACGTTGTATCCTTCTTACAATCATCTATTTAAATTCTATAGTACAATCATGATCGAACCTGACGATCTAAAAAGTTCCTATATTGGTCATCCACATTTAATTTTGTAAAGTTAGATTAAGATCACAGCTATGAGATTTTTAACATAAGAAATATTTTGTCTATTTAAACTATGGATAAATTATGGGTTGGTATCTGCCTTATTACAATTCCATAGTCAAATTCATGGTTTAGCAGTGTTCCTAGAAAAGTTATAAAAAATTATAAATGCAACTAATCACATCCTGATAATGGTTCGGCAATGAAATGTAGACCTCAATGATACCTTGATCTATAAAAATTCCAACCATCCTTAAATCATGGATAAATTATGGATCGGTATTTGCCCTATTACCATTCTATAGCCAAATTGATGGTTTGGCAGTGAAGTTATCGATCGCTGCAGACTTTGAACAATCATAATTATGGACAATAGTTAGGCAACCGATTTCATACAATTCGTTAGACAATTTTTTATAATATATTTATCCATGATTTAAGGATGGTTGGAATTTGGATAGATCAAGGTATCATTGAGGTCTCCATTTCATTGCCAAACCATTATCAAGATGTGATTAGTTGCATTTATAATTTGTTACAACTTTTCTAGGAACACTGCTAAACCATGAATTTGAATACTTATCTATGATTCAAGAATGGTTGGAATTTGGATACCTTGATCTATCTGAATTCCATAGTACAATAATGATCAAACCTAACAATTCCATATGTTCCTATATTGGTCACTCTCAGGTTATTTTTTATAGTTAGATTAAGTATTAGGCAGTGAGATTTTAAAATGAATAAAATCTTGTTGGCGCAAGTTCAAAGGAAATGATAGTAAATAATTTCTTAAACTTGCTAGTTAGAAAACATTATAAAGATAGATTCGAAAAGTTGTTAAACATGTAAACGACATTTATACAAAATGGTTAATCATTCAACTAATAATAATAGGATAAAGGTTTGTTTGGCAGACGTCTTATTACCATTCTATAGGCAAATCAATGATCTTGTGGTGAGAACCGAAGCACACATTCAACAATTATGATAATGGATAATGGTCGCACATCTATTGTATCAGTTCTTCCTAAAAAAGTTATAACAAAGTAGAAACATGACTAATCAGATGGTGCCTGCTTGGAAATCTGATAGATCAATGTATCCTTGAGTTTAACATTCCATTGCCAAACCATTAAGATGATGTGATCACTCGCATTTCGAATTCGTTCACATTATATATAGAACACAATATTATCAAAAATGAAACAGCAAAGACCAACAAAACTAAATAACGAAATTAAAATAGATCGAAAACAACAAATCCCCCATGAAATACATATACACGATACAAAACTTTACATGATCTAACTTCGCAATCCCGAGTGTTCCTATATTACAAATAAATTTTATCGAACCAATCTTAACGGCTAATCAGAACCAAAAACCCACAACAATAAAACATGAAGTCCTCAATTTCTAGCCATCTTCCACTCCAACATCTGTTCAGTGTGCTAACTCTAGCACACATTTGTAGCAGCACTATTTACAGACGGAATATTAGTTTCCCTTTTGGATAAACCCAGATGAAATCAATTCACCTTACCAATATAAAGCATGGAATAGTCTCTCAACCAATAGCACAATATGTTACTCCGTATAAACAGTACATGCAAAAATTATTTGCTTGACATATTAATATACTTTAAGACATATCACAGTTCAGCAGGGCATAGAAACACCCTCATTTTGATTTCATTAATACACATGAATATTTTCCCAAAAGACAAAATTAACTCAAATTTAGGGGATTATCATATCAGAATTGATAAGAAATATACTTATCATTCCATGGTACAAAACCAACTATTAATTCAAATAACATCTATTAATTGGAAAACGGAATCAGCCAAAATTAATTCATTTAACATATATACTCACACATCAGCAGGACATAAACAATTAATCACTCATATAACAAATTAAAATACATGAATGTTTTTACAGAAAACATATTCAACACAAATGAACTGTTTCTACTAATATAGATATGACTCATACCCATAGTTTGGCAGACAATAAGATCATCTTCGATTTGACCTTAGTAAAGTGCATAAACATTTCCTTGAAAACAAACATAACAAAATTTAATCGATCTTCATGTTAAGATTGTTAATGAACGGTTATTCATTCGTATAAAACCTGGTACTTGAGAACAAAATCAACAAAAGTTAATTAATCTTCATATTAAAATTGTTAAGAAACACACTTACCTTTTGGCAAGACTAACACAATTAATCATTTAAATAGATTGACTGAACAAAAACAATTATTCAATCAAATAATAACTGTTAAAATAGTTAGAAGATATACTTATAATTCAGAAAAATAAATCAAAATAAAAACTCATTTGACAATGTCAATCGAACTTGTTGCCTTTACTCCATGCCAATTCATGAATCTTTGACCTATAAATAACAACAAAAATAATAAAAAATCATCGATTAACAAAATCATGAAGAACATACGTATTATTGACACAAACTAACATGACCTATAAACAATTAACAAAAGACCAGATGTATTGTTGACACCAACTAACATAGAGCGATAATACACAACTAAATATACGTCCCTTTTATCACCTCTTATTTAGACCTTTAGAATGTCAACGCAATTAAATACGAATTGAATATGAAGAAATGTTTGCAATGTCAATACAATGCACCTATATAATTATTAATAGCAATCCTAGACAGATGTCATTAAACCACAATTATTAATAACAATCCAATGCACTTGTATGCTTGTTATTAATGCACATCCAACACATCAAAATGGTTACAGCTTTGGAATGCCAATGCAATGCACCTATATTATTATTATTAGTATTATTATTGATCCAATAATTTTTACTAATTATTAATTATAGATGGATCAATAAATACAAACCCAACGTGTCAAAATGGAGCAATCTGATTGGGCTTATTAAACCACGAATCCTAGTTGTCAATCCAATGTGTCAAGATGGAACAATTATACAGCCCCAAAATGAGTTTTAAAATGTGCTACATGTCAAACAACCAAGGGGGTATTCAACTTTATATATATATATATAAACTAATAGTAATGGACCTAAGATAATAGGAGTTTTCCTTATGAATATTCATCTGCCATGCCTAAAGAAAGAACAGATAATGGGCTCGTCCAGGTTGTAGGTGCTACCAGTGACAAAGATCTCACAGCTTGGGGGTAAGACAAGGTCTATATCTGCAAAGTTCAAGTGAATCTATGTTAAATGTTTTACACTATTCATTATTTTGTGTCATAAATAGTTTTGTAGGTTTCCCCTCTTACCCATTTTTTTAGTTTCTCCAAATAATAGTAATTACTATCCATTATATAGATAATAATTTGAGTACCATTAATTTCTTAAATATTTTAAAATTACTTAATAATATTAATTTTATTACAATTTTACCCATAACTAGACAAGGTCTATCTGCAAAGTTCAAATGAATCTATGTTAATTGTTTCACACTATTCATTATTTTGTGTCATAATTAGTTTTGTAGTTTTCCCCTCTTACCCATTTCTTTAGTTTCTCTAAATAATAGTAATTATCATTAATTATATATGTGGTAATTTGAATACCATCAATTTCTTAGGTATTTTAAAATTACTTAATAATATTAATTTTGTTACAATTTTACTCATAATTATTAAAAAATTTAGACAGTAATACCCTTGTTTTGAAAATAATTTACAAAAATATTCATGGACTATTTTATCCTTATATACAAATTTTTTAGGACATAAATACCCTGAACTTAAAAACAATTACCAGATCTGGCCATCGACCACCACCGCCAACTGTCGACACAAGAACAACCGATCGAATCTTGCTGGCTGTACATCAATCTGGCTGGAAATGACCAAAATAGACATGGCTGTATCCAACCATATCCACGACCATCTGATTGTCTCCAACCAAAGATCTAGACGCCAGAACGATGCATAACCGATCGGATTTATCCGACCTTGCACTAATCTGGCCGAAATGGCCAAAATAGATTTAACTGTTTTCGACCATATCCACAACCATCTAGCCGTTTTCGACCAGATCGACACACAACCGACCAGATCCGATTGGTCATGCGTCGTTCCGACCACGGCAACCGACGACTGGCGGTGGTGGCAGACAGTGACTTGGGGTCTTTTTGTTAATTTTTAAATTTTTATTATGAAGGTGTTTTAGCTAACTTCTCAAATATAAGGCGTTAAAATTAGTAATCTGAATAATAATATAATAATAATATTAAAAAGAAAGTTAATTAAGTAATCTATATAACATACTCTCTAATTTATTTCTCCCATTCAAACATATCAATATAATATACTCACCAATTTATTTTAATCTAACTAAACATAATTAATATAACATTCTCAATAATCTTCAAGGTAATCTATCTTCCCCTTAATGTAACATTCCTAATAATACAATATTCTTTTAACCATACTCAACCTAATCGAAATATAAACAAACAATCGGAGTGTTCTTTGATTTTCAAGATATTTCAATAACTGGTCCAGGCTCAGCACAAAGCTGTCGAACCAAAACACTGATAGCATGCAAGTAAATGATAGTAAAGAATGTAACACAAAATTTCCTAGTCCCTTTTTGATTTGGAAAGAGCTTTCTTCCTTTGCGCAAGCATGTAGGTATACATATGAGGACTACCTGCAGTTAATCAGCGTGTACAATGGATTAGAAATAAGCAAGCAAATGGGCACAAAGTAAAAGGACTGAAAATTCAGAGAAAAATGTCTTGAGTACATGCCTGGGACATAGAGTCCGAGAACAAGAAGTGCACTATAGAAGTAATCGAATGAGAAGTTCCATTTGTTCGGCATTCTTATAGAATACAATTCAGATCCCTGCAAAACCTCAGTTTAGTTAGGGAACTTACTGCAAACACATACTCTTGTCAAAAACTGCTGCAGAAAATGGAGGCACTTTTAGTAGAAGATAGGCTAAAACAGTCAAAAGAACCAAGCTATCTCCCCTACTTTTCTTCTACACATGTTTTGTGTTTCCTATGTATAAAGATTAGAGTTGTTAGAGAGATGGTTCAATTGGACATATACAAAGCAGTCGGTTACTACCCCAGTGGAGATAAAAGGTGAATAAAAACAAAGCTGGAAAGTTGCTCTTTCCTGTCTAATTGACCAATGCTGTCATAGGGTGACCAAAGACGAGCTTGAAAGAGTCTTAGTGAGATAATTGAGAATCACCATCAAAACAATCAAGGGTAGCCTAAGTTTCTCTCCTAAGTTTCACCATTGAAAGAGAACGTTGCTATTTTATCGATAATGATGTGAACAAAAAGGTTTCTACTTAGGAAAAGGTATATTTAAGTACTTTTAACTAGAAAGGCTTTTCATTCTCTAAGGCCATTGTTATGGCATCCACTCTGTTTGAAGTATATCTTTTCCACAACAAGATCACTTTGTCATTAACAGGGCATATTCTTCTAGAGTAAATGGTTGATTAATTGTCAGTGTTGGTTCAGTTGGTTGACTCTTAGAATTGTACAAGAAGTTTTCAACCGATCCAACTTAACACTAGAATTTGATGGGAGCGTAATGGTGAAAAAATAAAATATCAGTTGATAAATAACTATAAACAGGGTACAAAGTAAAATTTAGAGAAATATGTTACCTTTATGTATGGAAGGGCAATATAAATTAAACCGACTTCACTGGTGATGCCAGTTGGATAAAACAACAGAAATGTACTATACCTACATAGCATGATAAAATATTTAATGACATCAATCAAATAATCACAAAGCACTCAAATACTCCCATACATCTGCAAGCACAAGCTCAGTTTATACCTCAGCCATAAGAGCCAAGATGGTGTAAAACCAATAGCCTCCTTCAAGCCAAAGAAAGAATACCGAATGATCTGAAATTACAAGCAATTATAAGATAATTTTGCCTTTAATCTTGTCCACTAATGATAAATGAGCATGGCTATAAGCATCAACAATCATGAAATGCCGCAAATACCAATAAATTTAGAAAACCATCACCACTAAGAACACTTGTTATTCAATACTTCAACTCTAGCATGCTGTACATGACATACATAAAGGTCAATATCTTAGAGACATGCCTAGCTATAACAAATACATTTTAGAGTAGAAATTGTTGTTAATGCAAGTTCTACTGCTTAGCAGCATTCATAATCAATTTTCAGGCAAATTTCAGACTGGCAAAATTACAAAAACTTTGCCTACATTCTAAAGCAAAAAATCAACCACATTAAGGCTGTAATTACAAAAGAGAAAGGTAGAAAGTTTTACACAAAGAAATGACTATCCAATAACATAAGCAACAAAATGTGTATGAGATTAGTTAAAAATAATCAGTGCTGGTAGCTTCACATATCAAAGATTTTCATGGTAAATAACAAACTACATTAAACCAAAATACCAACAAACTGCCTCAGAGATAACTGAGTTTATCCAACTCTCCACTTTCAATAACTTTAATACCATAAAGAAAGCACAGAGGCACTGGAATACAAGACAAATGACAGCAAATAAACCATGGTTGAGAAACAAGACCACTAAAGAAAAATATATTTAAGTTACAATAACTATTTATTTATATTTTCTACTTCACCTTTCATCAATATAGCTAATACTCCTATGTTTAAACAATATAAGCACAAAAAGCAATTTGGGGGAATTGTTTAAAATCAACCCATCTCAACATTTTTTGCATATCTAACCAATGTTACAATCTGACAAAAATACCCCTGAAATGAAAGTTCTTTCTGTTTGAGATACACAACAACTTTGTCGTCAAGTGTTGTTAACATGTAAGTAGGAGCATTCAAAACGCTTGACACACTCGACAAGTAGAGGGCATTTTGGTCCACTGGGTAAAAGTGTGGCTACATCTACATGGTTCAAGAATATATTTCAATGAATTAGTTACATGAAACCCCTGAAAAGATGGTTATTTCTCAAATGAATCCCCTACATGAGCAGTAATTTTCTCACACATCTAGTGTTACCACAAGCACAACTGTAAAGTGCTGCAAATCAATCCCATATGTGAAGCAACTTCAACATAATTGCAATTTGGAAGGAGAACACTAGAAATCAAAATCATCAAGTCCTAGTAGATCAGTTGGTTGACAAATCAAAAGGTGATCACAAAACGACTCACCTCAGTTATGGACCAGCTGATGACCAGTGAACTAACTAGTATGTGAGTCTGGGTCTGTCAAATCATAAAGATTCATAAGTTTAATCAACTTGCATAAGAAAAAAATAGTGTTGATAAGATTTATAATGTAAATAGAGGCTCTGAACCTGAGGAAAACTCCATAATATACCCCATGTTACATACAATCTTGAACCTATTTGTGGCAATGTTGCAGTTATGGGAGATCTCACCAAGCCTTCTCAGTACACAAAATACGAAAACACAACATCAATTGACTTGTTTTCTTAAAACAAAACCTTCTAAACTCAAATCATAATTTAGGAAAAAAAAATCTCACCTATTAGCCCATGAAGAATCTGTTCCACAATAAGATTCAAGTAAGACAAACTGATGAACAAAAGCAAACACAAAACGGAACAATAAACAAAAACAAAACCAACTTTTACCTCTAAAACGGCAGCCGTTTGGGCAAGCTGGAGAGGCTTTTCGACGGCATTGTAGACATGTTCATGGCCAGAGTCCTTCAAGGTCTTCACAGCAAAGTACAAAACTTGACACCTGAAACGAGTAGTTAAAGCTTAAAACTAGAAAACCCAGATGCAAAAAGAGTTGAAGAAGAGATCTGTAGGAGTAAAGATAGAACTTGCCATCCGACAAAGACGGTCCAGTTGTAAACTACGAGGTATAGGCGTCTGAGAATAGACAAAAATGCGGCCATTTGAGAGAGTAAAGAGATTAAAAGAAGAATAGTCAATCAAGAGGAAGTGTAGCTACAGATAGCTAATATAGAAATATGTAAAAGTAGAAAGGAATGGAGAATTGAATTGAAGAGTTAGAGATACATGTGGGCGTTGCAGAGACAGGTGACTTCTTCAACTACTTTGATCTACCATCATGTTCTTTATTTATTAATTTATTAATTTATTGTTTTCTCAACAAGTTTAATAAAACATCAAAATTTTCTTTGAAATTTTAGAAATAATATAAATTTCCTTATCTTTAATGAATTATATTAAAAATTTTGATTATAGAAGAATTTTTGTTATTTAATTTTATCAAAGAGGTATTACTGTTATAAACTTTTACTTTATTGATTAATTTATGAATTAATACCAGGCTCTATCATGATATGCTTTATTATTGTTTATCAATTTTTATTTTCTGGGATTGCAAGCCACGTGGATATCTAGTCAAAGCAAATAAAGGATAATGATTTAGATTTTATCGGATTATTTGTTGAACAAATTCTGAAAATAAAGCTAAATGAGGGTGGTTTGTGCCAAAAATAAGAACATTATATCTGCATAAAATTAAAGTAAATCTGAAGGGTGATTAAAAATTCTCCCATGTTTCAGACAATTGTTTTATTAGAAAAAGAATAATTTTAATTATATTTTAAATAAGAAAAAGTGGAAATAACATGCTTCGTGTTTAGATGTTTTTTAATATATTCTAAATCTATCATATATTGAATATAAAAGAGGCATAGGATTATAAACAGAAGGGAAATATCAACATTTTTTAAAGACTTGTGACAAATGATACCACGATATGATATGGGATAAGTTTTTAAAAAAGATATCTAACCTATTATTTATTGGTCCGGTGTTTTAATTGTTGCCGGTGACATTAATACAAGAACACGTGTTTTATGTAATTAAAGATAGGGGATGAGCTAAATGTACTCCTTATTACTCCATACATTAATTTTAGATTCATTATTTTTTCCTTCATTTTTGTTTGTAATTAACTAATCATTCATCATTAGAAAAAAGTAGCTGAACTTAATGGCGTACGATGAGTTTTGAAAGTGGGATTTGGTTTGGTGGACAGTTGAGCCACTCTTTGTAGACATTCATTAGATTAACCGATTTTTTCCCACCCAAATAATAGCTTAATAACACTTTCTCACCCATAAACTTTTAAAATATCACTTTACTACCCAAATTTATATTTTGTTTCTGATTCCAGCATCGTTACAACCTCACACCACCACCATTCTCTTCTCCGATCATCACTCACCAAAACCCCTCAAACCCTACTCCCGTCGACCCCGCCAATTGCCGATAATCAAGCAATTGGGGTTTGCGCAGCCGCCTCTCCCAAGTCAAATTTTGATCAATCTCAACCACCAAAATCCAACCTTTTACCACCAAAAGACTCATCGGCCTCCCCTCTTAAAAAGCCCAACAACCTAGACTGAGTTTGCTCTCTGTTCACCGCCAGAATATAAATTTGAGTAGTAAAGTGATATTTTAAAAATCTGTGAGTGGAAAAATGTCATTAAGCTATTATTTGGGTGGGTAAAAGTCGTTTACTCCATTCATTAATGAGAGCCATTACTTGAGTTATTTGGAAGCTATTATGTAGACACCCTCAAGTTTATTATTTGAATTAGAGATTTTTGTCCACCCAAGGTTTGGCGAATCTACAAGTTCCCACCCATGGTTTCATAAATTCCAAATTCCCACACTTAAATTAACACTGTTAGTAATTTTTAGATTGAAACACAATAGATAAAGTGTTATTACCATAATGCTCTTAACAAATAAATTAATAAATTACTTTTTAACCCCAAATTAATAGAATTAGAAAAAATCATCTCACTTTCAAATATTTTTCAATAACACCCTCTTCTTCAATTTTTATTAAAAAAAAAAAAAAACAGAAACCCTAAGAAGAGATGGAAGGCGACCAGCAGGCTAACGGGGTCAAGTTGGTGGGGGTTTTTGGAGAGCAAATGTTGAGCAAGTGATGGATAGTGACAAGGGTTATTTTCTATTGGAATATGTGCCCTAGAGCCAATCAATTATTGTGGAATTGACTCTTTATAATGATGTTTATTAATCAATAAAAGGCATTGTCTACTATATCATGTAAATCATAGTTGCATGTATTGATATATGTCCTTAGGATGGTAGAACCGTGACGAGGGTATCAAGTGTTTCAAATCTTGATAGTGAGAACCCTATGAGCACATATGGTGGCTATTTTAGAAAGGTTCATAGCCCTAATATTATTCTGACCAAGGACACAGTATCATAGTGTTAAACAACCTTGTCGAAAGACAGTGACTGATCTCACTTGTCAAGGTTGTTTGTCGACAACTTGGTGCAACACATGGGTGCTTGCTGCAGGCAAGTTCACTAGATTGACCCACCAGAGGATTCCATATAGATGGTAACCCTAGTGTCTATGGAACAAATCCTCTAACGAATGGTGGTGCATATGATCCTTAGACTTGAGATCACCGGAGCGCCTTGTGCACCGATTGGTGTAGTTTGACACTAGTCCAATGCAGTTCTATTCAAAGCTATCAATACGATAGTGATTGGCTGCATCAAGGAATGTATCAAGACTATGGTGGATCGACAAAGGATTCATCACTCCCGGGTACAAGAGAAGTTATCTCACGGTGCCATTCAATTTATGACAATGACACTAAAACTGTGATCACAGTGGGATTGAGTTGTTACTCAATCTAATTTATTATTCTGGTCATTAGTCTCGTAACTTAATATAAATATATCGAGGATAACTAAGGTTGACACTATTTCTATGCCTCAGTCTCGATGAGATAACAAATGATGAAAGGTTTTGATTGCACGGTAACCATATCATTAACAGGTAGCTATTTCACTGAATTCGAATCTATCAGGTAGCCATGATGCTTTGTTAGAGGTTAATCTTGGTATGTTTGTAGTGAGACAATTGATTGGTGTCAATCGCGATACTACTCACTGTTGGTATGACGAGGAGCCTACGAGTCACACACTAAGGAGACAGTTTAAGGGTGGTTAACTATGAAATGGTATTTTCGTCTTTTGGACGAAAGGGCATATTAGTAATTTTGCTATGTAATTAAATTTACTAAGGTTATTGCTTGTGTCCAATTTTATTGGAATAATTTAGCAAAATTACGAGTTTAATTATTGAAGTTAATATTAATATTACTATTTAATTAAATAATTAAACAGGGACCTCTGTGCGATTCCACCTAAGTTTGGGTAGTTGTTAAACTTTGGGGGTGGAATTGATATTTGGCTTTTCCATATAAAGAAAGCAAAATAGGTTTTCATGATGAGATTCATTTTCTCAGCCGTGGGAGTGAAAACTTTGAGAGAAATTTTCATTCATTCACTTTTCAGCCGTGGGAGTTAGATTTAAGAGAGAATTTTTCTCTCTTCATTTCTTCACTCATTCTTTCCAAACCTTGGAACCTTAAAGCCATGGATTGGTTCTAGCAAAACCAATCTTTGGTCTCTATTGTACTGTCTTCGTGTGGACAACATGAGTTCGGTCCTACACTTGGATCGATAACGAGATCGCGTTCAGAGATAATGACGGAGCCTCCAAACATTGGTATGATCTGATCCTTGTTTAGTTTTATGTTATTTCAATTTAAGCATGTAAAATATATATATACATATCAAACCCTGATCTTGGGTTCATCAGAGTAATCGATGGGAAAATTTTCGCTTTCCGTTGCATTTACCCCATCGATTTACTAACATTTTCGATGTCAGGATTGGCTGGAAAGAGCTTGAGAAGTCGCGGACCAAATGGTGGCGGTGGTCGACGATTGATAGAGTAAACGAGTGAGGTGTCACAAGGGTTTTGGTCTAAGGGCTTAGGGGAGGAAGATGGTGGTGTCAGGGAACAGGTACATGTCGAAAAGGCTAGAAATGGCTGTCACAGGCGGTGGAGTTAGGTTGCATGAATCGACGAAAATCAGCCAAATCGAAAGCTATCAAGGCTAGGAAACACTTGGCAAATGATAAGGTGGGTATATTATATTAACGGAAAGAAAGATAACCTTGAAGATTACTAAGAATTTTTAGAAAATGTGTTTGGTTGGTTCGAATAAATTGGTGAATAATATGTTTGGTTGGGAGGATAAATGGGTGTTATATAGATTACTAGATTGCCCTCTTTTTAAATATTAATATAATAGTATTTTTTTTATTATTATTCTTTGAATCATTTCTTTTAACCCTCTACATTTGAAATTTTGTTAAAACACCCCATCCATATAAAACTTTAATTTGTATCAAAATCACCTCCAACCACCCCAAGCCACTGTCGGTAGCCAGCCACCACTGCCAGCCATCGCCGGCAGTTGACAGAATGGTGCACGAGTGGCCATATATGGCCGACCATGCACCAACAATGTCAGAAATGGCCGACCATGCACCAACAATGTCAGAAATGGCCGACCATGCACCAACAATGTCAGAAATGGCCATGGATCACAAATCCATGGCCGGAAAACGGTCAAATCTATGGCCATTTCACAACCAAATATCTAGTTGGAAAAAGATCTGGCCTTTTTACTGTCACATCTTTGGCCATGAAACGGCCATAGAAACACCAAATCTAACTGTTTTGTCGACGCATGACCGACCAAATCCTGCTGATCATGTACCATTACGACGACTGACACTGGCAGTGATAAGTCACGGCCGGCGGTGGTCTTGGGTGGTTGGTGCTATTTTATTAACTTTTAAATTTTTTTGTGGTTGTGGTGTTTTAGCTAATTTCTCAAATGTTGGGGGGTTGGGTAATTGTTATTTGGTAGACATTTGAGGGCAATTGTATCCAAAATGGTTTTTAATTAATGGCAAAATGGGCAGAAAAATCATGTTACCTCGATAATCTTTTAATAACATCCCCTAATAAGATAATAAGATTATCCCCCCCCCCCCCCCCCCCCCCCCCCTCTCACATTACCAACAGTAAACACTATTTACAATAAAAGATTACCGTAATATTTTATTACTTGCAAACCAAACACCGAAATCTTGCAAAATAAACGAAGCTTACCCCCGTTATCTTATATATCCCCAATCCAAACAACCTCTTTGAGTTATAATT